GAACGCGTCCCGCTCCGGCCACGCGAGGAAGACCGCCCCAGCAGCCCCGCTCCCCGTCTTCCCTGACGTCTGGGCCCCCGCCAGGAAGATCCTGTGGGGAAACCAGTCCGGAGGAGCAGGTCCTGTGCAGACCTATAGCCTCGTTACTCTTGTCACTCCAGCTGCCAGACAAGTACGCTTCTCCCTCCCGTGCGCTATAATTCATCCACGAGCGGCAGGCTGGCTTGATGTCTTTTTTTTTTTTAATATAAAATTCAATGCCGTTTATGGATGGTAAATGTCGCCGCCAGATATGTTGCTTCCGTCCGTGTCTCCCCCCCACCCCCTTCTCGATCGGCAAACTGCACAGGTGTAAGCCAGGTAATTACCCACATTTTACAAAGCGGAAAACAGGGTCGTGAGGACAGGCTGCGGGTTTGAAGGAATTCTTGACAACCAGGTCACTCTCCTCTGCTCTAGGTTTTATATGGCCAGTGGGCCTCTAAATAGGAGCCCTTGGGCACAATGTCTCCAACTTATCAGTAGCTGAGGCAGTGGGTAAACCTATGAGTCAAAAATTTCCTTCTCTGTTAAGAGTTGCACAAAGCCACGGTATAGTCCCTAGAACCTTAACTGGAAAATGTGGTGCGTGTTGGGGGCTTTTGTCACAGGTTAGTGAGATCCCCTAGAGGAGCTGGGTATTGACCGGTGGGAGAAACTGGCAACCTGACGGACTCAAACCCAGGGACCTTCCGGCGCAGGGGAGGACATTCAACCAACTGAGTCACACTGGCCAGGGCTCAACATCCATTTTTTAACGACCAAGGTTATGAAACCTTTAAGTTTTATTGCTGGTTAGTTGGAGTGCCCTCCGGTGTCTCTATATTAAAATATCAAAATATAAAATATCAGTATGACCTTTCAAAGGACATACTGAAATTACAATCACAGCATTAGAGTACCGTATAACATCAACTGCTTGTTATGCACCATACTTTCCAGATCTGGGAAGCCTCCTGTGTGGAGGAAGTCCCTGCCTGGGGAGTTTCAGCAGAAACTTCTGTTTGGGTTGCAGTCAAAATTTCAGGGTCTCAGGCTACTCTAGCAAAGGACTCTGGTCATTCTTTCTGGCTGCCCAGCATCTGAAGACACCTTCCTATGTTAGAGCAATGAATTCTCTTGTGAGAGGAGCCGGGTTTCCACTACAGAAGCCGAAAAGCAAACCCACACCTTTCCAGCCTCCCTCGCAACTAGAATTCCCCATTTAAACTCAGCCAGCCAGACTCTGTGCTGGAAACTAGTGAGACTGGACGCACTCCACTTTGCCAGTGGGGCAGCTCAGGGGCAGCCAGCGTGGGCTTTCTGCAGCTGCAGTGGAGTCACTACCAGATCAGAATGCCTGAGTGTACCTGCCACGCCTAGTTCTTCTGCCCTGCAGGGGTTTGTGGTTGCTACTGTCATTTTAATGAGTTCCTCTTCTGCATAGATGAGCCAGAGACTGTATTGCTCTCAACTAAGATGCTAATTGAGCAACTACTTTGGGTAAAACAACTGGGTTGAGTACCCCTAGGGGGTGGACCCACCCTATCTCACACCACCCTCCTCTTCTCTCTCTGACTTCCTGCTGCATTGGCCTTCTCTTCAGTTTCCCTATCTGCACTGTGTAATAAGTCCCACAAGCTAGTTGTGGCTATCAAGAACTTGAAATTTGGCTAGTCTGAAATGAGATGTGCTCTAAGTGTAAAAGATACACCAGCCTTGGCTGGCATGGCTCAATGATTAGAGTGTCAGCCCACACACCAGAGGGTCGAGGGCTCGATTCTGTTCAAGGGCACATACCTGGGTTGCAGGTTCCATTCTGGCGCTGGTTGGGGCACATGCAGTAGGCAACCAGTCAATGTGTCTCTCTAACATCAATGTTTCTCCCTCTCTCTCCTCCCCACTCCCTTCCACTCTCTGAAAATCAATGGAGAAAATATCCTTTGGCGAGGATTTAAAAAAAAAAAAAAAAAAAAAAAAGCCTAGCCAGTGTGGCTCAGTGGTTGAGCATTGACCCAGGAGATTGAGGTTCGATTTTGGGTCAAAGCACATGCCCAGTTGCAGGTTCTATCCCCAGTGGGGGGGGGGTACAGGAGGCAGCTAGTCAGTTACTCTCAACATTGACGTTTCTCTCTCCTTCATCCTTCCTCTCTCTGAAATCAATAAAGACATATTTTTTTAAAAAGACACATCAGATTACAAAGACTTAGAACAAAAAAATATGTAAAATACTGCATTTATAATTTTTATGATGAGCAAATGTTAAATGACAATATTTTGGAGAGTTAAGTAAAATATAATGCTAAAATTAATTTCATCTTTCTCTTTTTACTTTTTATAATGTGGTTGCTGGAGAAATTGTAATTACATATATGGCTCATATTATATTTCTATTGAACGAACGTTCTAGAGCATCAAGATTTGGCCTTTGATCTAGTTAATGCTAACTTTTAACCAGCTTCAGACATCTGCTGTGTCTCATTTCAGGAAACTTTCCCTGACCCTTGGCCTGGGTTTCCTATGTTGACATAAGAAACATCCAAACCTGCTGTAGAGAATTTTTAAAAGAGTTTATTCGAGGACAACATATCTGGGGAGCAAGGTTTCAAATGCTCCCAACGATAACAATTTGCAG